CCCTAAAAATAGGGAAATATAAAAAAGGGGGGGGGGGGGGGCAAAGGTGAGTAAAGGAGACTCTACAGTAGTAGATTTCCAATGCAGGAAAAAGGCTGTCTGAAAAAGTAAATAGCTGGGAATTAGGAAGACAAAGGGCAGAAAAGGAGGGGAGGAGAAGGGAGGAAGGGGAGAAAGAGAAGTGTAAGAGGTCAGGTCCGGCAGGTACCTGGTAGATCAAATGCCAGTGCCAGTCTCAATTGCAGTCATGTCCACTGCCATACTAACAGCAGCTACATTAAGCTTTGTTAGCTTTTCATAGGTCATAGCAGCTCTCCCTAAAACAACCAGAGGAAGTACAAACAGGCCCACAGTGGGACATCAGAGAACTGAACCCTGTTCTAGCTCCATACCCTAGCCAATGAGATAACATTTGCTTGTATATTTATGTGCAGGTGGAGGTACCATACCGAGGAAGAATTGGGAGGTTCCTCTCACTGGGGTAGAATAACCAGCTATAGTGGTGGAGGATACTATATAGACCTCAAGCTGACCCGAGAGGAGACTGCTGAAGCCTTGCAACTCTTAAAGGAGAACTTGTGGCTGGACCGAGGGACCCGAGTAGTCTTCATTGATTTCTCAGTATATAATGCAAACATCAACCTCTTCTGTGTGCTGAGGTAGGCAGTCTTGCCAAAAAGTTTTCATTCTTTCTCTTCATTGTCAGTGTTGCTACCTAGTACATTTACACTTTTCCCATCTTCAGAGTTTTTAATGCAAGGCTCTTAAAGTACTTTACAAATAAATTAATTCAAACCCCTTCCCCTTACACTCCCCATCTCATCCAGGTGGTAAATTTTAGTATTATCCCCATCTTATCTGGTGAAAGACTTGTCCTGGGTCCCAAGATGGATTAAAAGCAGGACTGGGAATAGAATCCAGGAGTCATGGCTCCCTGTCCTCTCTAGCCACAGGAGATGGAGATGGTACAAGCTCTGAATGTTTCCTTGCCGTTTTCTGGAGATGAGTTGGCATCTCTTTCCTTGAACCTTCTCACCTTTGACACTAGTTACTACCATGATTTGAGTGTTATAAAGACCTGCAATAGAACAATGCAAGGGCAAGATATCACACTTACCCATTCACTTACTATGGAAAAAAAAATGCTTATTTCACACTTACAGCTTTATGAGTCCTTAACCTTAAGGGGATGTGTTATTTGGAGCTTTGTCACAGGGTACCTTAAAATCAGCATATAGGAACTTAAAATGAGAACATTCACCTGCTAAAGGGTATTAAACCATCATAAGTACCCTCTAAATGTTTTAAAGATAAGCCACGCAAGAGGAAGTTCATCTTGGAAACCATTTCTCCATGCCATTTCAGGCTATTGTTTGAATGGTCAGGGGAGGTAAAATGTCTTACTTTCATTCCTCCAGCATCTCAGGGTGCACAGCTCCCAGCCACTTGACCCATTCCCACTCTGCAAAACACCCCCTACTTCCAGCTGAGAGAAACTGCTTTGAGTGGGTTACTTGCAGAGAGACCATGGAGCTGGGGAAGCCTGCTTGCATAGTCTTGCTTCTGGGAGGCTCAATTTCAGCAAGACCAGAGTCCCAGGGAACTGCTTCTGGTGTCACTCATGGAGGTGTGGCAGCACCGCTCTGAGAGAGGGGCTGCCAGGGCTTAAGCCCTCAGTATGGAACCTCCACACCAATTTCAGCAAGGCCAGAGAGCCCCAGAGAAGTTGCTTCCAAGCTACAAGCCTCCCTTCCATCTTCCCACCTGCCTACTGTCTCCATGCCCCTGCCCACCAGGGCCTCTAGTGGCAACTTACAGTCATGCAGGTCTGATACAACATGAAGCCTTTACCTGTGGCTGCTCTAAAACCACCCTTTTTGACATTACACTGCATTCCACAGATTTCTGGCATTATACAGGAAACCAGTGACGAGGCCTTTATGCTAGTAGCTCCGCACGACCTAACTGTAGCTCCCTGCTACATACCATGAGTGTTCTCTAGCTGGGGATGGGTAAATAGTCAACTATTCAGATGCAAATCAGACCCAATCCTATTTAAGAGATGTGTTAACTTCTCTTCTAGGTCCACAAATATCTATGAGACAATTACCATCCCCAAATCCCTTTCCCTCCAACTGACCAAGGATTTCCCCCTCTTCTTGTCCATATTGCAATAGCATGTACAAGGTCCAGCTGAGACCAGGGCCCCATTGCACTGGGGACTGTACCAATATATATAGCCTAATCTACTTTAGATACTGGTGGATAATCAACACAGCCATTTAAACCCTGCCATTTTACTTGTACTGGAACATTGTCTCAGCTGCTCACTTTCATTAGAACTTATTACCTAGTAACTTTTAATGAGGTGTTCTCAGTACCTGACTAACTGTATGTCTTGTTACTTTGTTGCCCAGGCATGGACATGTTCAATTAATCAGTTAAGCAGTGGCTCCTTCAGCAAGGCCTTTATAAATTCCCACAGCAGCAGAAATGGCTTGGGAAAAGAAGCACACAGCCCTAGGGCTTGTAGGATCAGCAGGTTGTAATAGGGGCTGTGCAATTTCCTGGCTGAACAGGGTTTAGAATTAGTGGCTGAGTCTGCACAAGCGGCAGACTGTGCAGTTCTTACTGCACAGTCATTTAGTACTTGCTTAACCAAGTACTAAATGACCACGCATTAACTGGAATTACAGTTAATTGCAGTACTGTTGCCACACGTTTGTTTTTTTCCCAGCTGCTACTGTGCAATAGGAATGAGCTACTGTGCGGTAGCTTATTACGACTGCTCGGTAGTGTCACCATTATGGTTTGCGCCTGTTGATGCTATGGTGCCATAGCAACGAGCTACGGTAGCGTCTCATGTAAATGTGCCTAGTGAGAGGCATCATCTGGGAGCAATGAAAGCCACTGAGTGCTGAATAGTTTTGAAGGTCCAGTCACACTGGAGGTAGGACTGAACACTGCCACATGATTAATAAGGTAATTTTCTCTTATAAAAAATATACTACAGTACTTGCATTTCCCTTGTCACTGTTTCCTTCCTCACAATGTGCAATGTGCCAGCAGAGATGAGCGATTGTGGCAAAGTCCTCAAGTATGTTCATGCTTCTTCCATACTTGGTTGGAGGTTCTCTTGGCTCATACCCTTAACCTGATACTTCTCAAGAACATACAACATCCCCACAATTACTGTGCTTTCTTTCTCCCTTTGAAGGTTAGTGGTTGAATTCCCAGCCACTGGTGGTGCCATCCCCTCCTGGCAAATCCGTACAGTCAAGCTTATCCGATATGTCAGCACTTGGGACTTCTTCATTGTCGCCTGTGAGGTTGTCTTCTGCATCTTCATCTTCTACTATGTAGTGGAAGAGATTCTAGAACTGCGGATCCACAAGCTCCAGTATTTCACCAGTATATGGAACATCCTGGATGTGGTGGTCATACTGGTGAGCGTCCCCATGAGCTTTTCTGGATGAAGAATTCAGGGAGTTGGAAAAGCAAAAGCAAAATTAGTAGCAGGAGAACTGGTGTTGAAAAGCCCAGAACTGTCTCAAACCTTTACTCCAAATTCAAAGAGAACCACTAATGGGAGATTTCCTATGTCCTTGACTTTCAATAGGTGTTAGGTGCCTTTGAAACTCTTCCCCTTAAGTCCATGCTTAAATGATTAGATGGCCTGGGACATAAACCAGTGTGTTAGAACCCTGCTATAGTGTTTCCCTCCCTTCAGATGGATTATCTCCATTGGCTGATTTCAGGGAGCTTAGTGACATTTTTATCTCCAGTCCCTGTTTATTTTGTACACCCAGCAGTAATTCCAGGTGCTTCTTCCTTCAGCTTTCCATTGTTGCCATTGGGTTCCATATCTTTCGCACCATTGAGGTGAACCGGCTGATGGGAGAGCTGCTGAAGAACCCTGACATCTATGCAGACTTTGAGTTCCTGGCTTTTTGGCAGACCCAGTACAACAACATGAATGCGGTCAACTTATTCTTCGCCTGGATTAAGGTACTACACAGGTTCCTATTGGGCTCTCTGCTTTCTAAGCTAACATAGGGAAAGAATCCAGAGTGCTACAGTTTTGGAGCTCAAACCCCGCTCCTTTTGTGTGAACAGACAAAGTAGCATGTGCAACTGGTGGGGTGGGGCAGGCCTGGGGAAGAGGCTTGCCTCTGCATCATGTTCCAGGGATCCTACCTGATCCACAAGGGCAGTGCTCTGGAGATGGGAGCGGTGAGTGGTGGCATTGAAAGGGGTGTTTTAAGGTGTGGAGTGCCAAATAATTTTATTGAAAAAAATATTAACGATGTGCTGTCTTGCAAAACCATAAATGGCAGGCTAAATCTTAATGAATGATTCTTTCCCGTAATGCCACACTGAAACAAGTTTGGGGTCCTTTACATATAGAAGATAAGCCAAAAAAACCCACAGTTACTCACTGTGACTACTTCATTAATAAAGAACATAAAAAACAAAAGAGACCATGAGCAGCAAACTATGATTATTTCAGTCACTGTCTCTTGAACATATCTCTGTGGACAGCTTTCAATAAAAATGATACCTTGAGAGCAGGTGCGTAAAACCAAATTATATTAATCTCTGAATCAGCAGCAAATCCCATTTCTGTATGTTACAAACAATTAATACATTTTACAGCAAAGGAGTTTACATTAAAGGTTCTGGAAACCTGTTTAATATATCACGGATAAGCTAAGCAGTTTATAAATTAACAGAAGTAAGTGATATTCACTAAGGCCCTGGTCCACGAAGATATTTAGGTGGCTAAATATCTTTTTGAATCTAGGCTAAATCTTTTGAAACTCAAGGAAACAGTGAGCTCAATAACTTGAAAAGGGCATTCAAGGAGCAGTCTGCTGACAGGCAAATGAATGAATACTAGGAAGATAGTGTACTTCACATTGTACTTGACGAAGTGTTTTTTGTCTGTCTGAGTTTAGTAAGAAGTTGTCTAAGCTTTACCAGATAATGAATTCCCTAATCAACGTGAATATTTTTATACTTACGTGGCTTCTTATATTAGTAACTGGTTATGACTTCAAATGATCCTGTTGTGTTTATATGCAGAGCATCTCAGGATCCACACAACAGGTATAGGTAGTAATTATATGAAGGCTTGCGTTTAGAGCCCAAATATTTGCAAATATACATGAGAGGTTATACTCTTTTAATATTTGCAGGACAACTAAGGTTTAGTTGGCAATATGGCTAAGAGATAAGTAATACCTTCCTCTCCTGAACATTTAGCTATTAAAGACCTAAGATTTTTGATTAAAAAAATCAGTTTGAATAAGTATATTTCTAGATTTCTTTGGGGGGGTTCAAAATTAACATTCTTCTCTTTGCAAAAAGGAGAATGAAGAGGGCCTACTTTAATGTCATCAGCCACTGATAAATTTAGGCTGGGGATTAGAAGGTTTCTAATTATTAGGACTAGGGAAAGACATTACACATAAACTGTTTTAAGTGATCAGAAACTGGTTTAAACCTGTAACAGAACAGACATTCAGTGCACATACACCAGTTTCAAAATGGCCAAAACTGGTTTGAGATAAGCCTAGTTGACTGTACTATCAGACTTAACTGATTTGGATCAAACCAGTTTCTGCAATGCCTGTCCCAGACCCCTTGCTGGTTTAAACTAAACCAGACTCCCCAGCATCCTGGCAGGCTCTCTGGGCTGGGCGGGGCTCTCTGCTGCAGCTGCAGGAGCAGGGACTGGCCCTAGTGGAGACACGGTCCAGCATGGCCCTGTTAAGGGAAGGAAGGGCTTTAATTCTTCCCTCCTTCCCCCGTTCCCTCACTGCAGTTGGGGTCAGCCTGTTTGCCAGGCAGCAGAGGGAGGGGGCTGCAGCGGTGGCCCCTGCAGCTGCCAGACACCAGCTGCAGGGAAGGGACAGAGGGAAGAATTAACCCTTCTCCCTCCCCCTTTACCTTAAAGAGGCCATGCTGGGTTAGTTGTCCTGCAGGGTGGGGAGGGGGGCTTTGTTCCATGCTGGAGGGACTCTTCCCCCTCCATCTCCTCCCAGGATGGGGAGGGGGACTCTGGGAGGTGCTGGATGGAGACTCTTCCTCCTCCTTCCCTTCCCTACCTGGCACTGTGGGACTGGGAGGCAGGGGCTCCTTGTAGTGCTGCCCAGCCCCAGAGCGGGGGCGGAGGGCAGAGGGAGGCTTTCTTCCATGTTGACGGAACTCTTCCTTCTCCTCCTCCACCTCCCCAGAGGGGCAGCAGGAGCACGGAGCTCAGCTGGGCAGGGTGTAGGTGTGAGGGTGGGGGGTGTAGGGACCCCCACACACTCCCCCTATGGCATGCAGCCCCCACTGCCTGGCACCAACAGGAGGTAGGGAGGTCAGGGTGCTTGTGCTTGGCGCTGTGCTGCTTGGGGGAGGGTGCGGAGACTGCCCCATCACCCAGGCGCTGCTGCCTGCGCCTGCAGCTCCAGCACTTGCAGTGGGGGAAGCCCTGTACTGGAGCTGGCTGCTTCCCCTGCTTCCTGCTGTGCAGGTCCCCACACTCTGCTGGGAGTGGAGGGAGCTCTGCCCTCTGCTTCCCTGCAGAGTCCAGCGCGGGGCTTCCCTGCCACGAGTGTGGAGCTGCAGGTGCGCAACATGGAGCATCAGTAGAGGCAGCCACTGCTGCACTGGCGGTGAGGAGCGCAGCCCTGTGCAGCCTACCCAGCCACTTCTCTTGGTGAGGTTCTGTGCTCCCCCTACACCCACACCTCATTCAGCTGAGCTCCACACTCCTTCTGTCCCTCTGGGGGTAGGAGGAGGAGGGGGAAGAGTCCTCCCAGCATGGAACAGAGTCTCCCCCTGCCCTGGGGGGGGAGGAGTGGAGGGAAGAGTCCCCCTCTGGGGCTGGGCAGCATAGTGCACCCCCTTCCCCACCCCACAATGATGGGGGAGAAGCAGGAGGAAGAATCTCCCTCTGGGGCCAGGCAGCCTCACAGAGCCTCCCTCCCCATCCCACTGCAGGGGTGGGGGGAAGAGGGAGAAGAATCCCCCCACCCCCCAAGCACCGAACAGGGCCCCACTCTCAGCCCCATGGGAGTGGGGGAGAGGGAGGATGGTGAAGAGTTCCCCTCTGGGGCCATGCAGCCCTGTGTGTGGGGTTTGCTCCTGGCTCTCAGGGAGCCACTGGGGTGGGCCTGCCAGGGCCTGGCCAAGCTCCCTGCACCTCAGCTCAGCTTACCTGTGGAAGGGAGGGCTGCACTAGCACCCCCAGGCTTTTGGCTTGATTCACTGAAGGCATTTGCCTGCATTTTCCGACTAGAAAGGGAATGTCTATCCACTAGGAAACTGATTCACTCTCTGCTAGTTAGACTAACCTGCAAAGATTGAATTAATTCAGGCTCGGGCTTTTTGAATGTCTGCCCCTAGCCCAGAGAACTAGGTCCTCCAATAGGTGTAGTGAGAGCAAGACACCAACTATGCTGAAGACACATGAACTTAACGTGCCTGAATAAACTCCAGCACAGTTTTGTTATTGCTCCTGGGTGCTGCATTTACATCTGCACCCAGGATTGCAACACATTGAGCCAGGTTGGAGCAGCCGTGGCTGACAGGGATCCTGGGGGGTTAGCCTGCCACCACAGAGCTGCTCTGACCCAGCTCAAAGTGCTGTGGAGAAGCTGGCTGGAGCACAAGAGTGCTCCAGTGCAGGGTTAGCCAGCAGGCAGCTCCTGCACTGAAGCACCCTCATGCCTCAGCCAGCCCCATCAGTGCCTACACACATGAATGACTTGTGCTTCCTGAGGCTGGGGGAGCATGGCGACCACCTACAGGCAGCAGTGACAGTGTTGGCAGTGGGTCATGGTGGTGGTAAGTGGGGACCATCTGCAGATGGGTGCAGTGACGCCAGCAGTGAGGGCGGAACAAGTGGGGACCGGCCGCAGTGGCACTGGCAGCAAGGGAGGGAGGGGGGAGTGGCGACCACCCACAGATGCTGGCAGCAGTGTTGGCAGTGGCCAATCTCAGGGGGGGCACGTGTCCCCACCATGCTTCCCCTATGTGTTTTCTATGCCTACATGTGCACTGTAGTGCACTAAATAACACACTGCAGGACAGTACTTGTTTACAAGTACTTTCCTATGGTGGTGTTTGTTAGTTTACTGCAGAGTAATAGGGCCACACATGTAGACACCCCTATAGGGTGGAAAACTACAGAAATTAGCTTCTCTTCTTGGCAAGTTCCCCCATGGGGCCTAGACAATACTTTTGCTGTTTCAGGGAAAAGGATCTTGTGGAGAAAAAAACTGAGGATACAGTGTCAGAATGATCCCCAAAGAGCCTTGCTGTAGGTGAGGAAAGGGGAGCTAGATAGGATGGAAAAGGTGCCAGCACCTCATGGGGTGAAAGAGGGATATTTTATCCCTCTCCGTTTTAAGAAGGATATTTATTACAAACTTGTGATATTTCCTGGAATCTATCGCCTTCCTGTGAAAACGACAGAATAGAAGCAAGGCAAAGCTATTATGTTTTAGGAACCAAGTGGTAATTGGACACACACTGGCTTACTATGCTCCATGGGTCATGGGAGGAGGTCATGGGGGTCTCTGCATGAGCCCCTGAAGCCCTGAGCCCGCTGCAGGAGCAGTGAGTCCTGGGGCTTTTCTCGGCTTCATTTTTCTTAAAGGGCTAGAGCTGGTCCAGGCAGGGCACCCATGGGAGGGTTAGGGGAGTGAGAGAGGTCAGGGGGCTTGTGCAGAGCCCCCTATGCAGTGTGGGGAAGTGGGGGGCAGCAGGGATTGTCCCCCTGCCTGGCAGCACCCGGTGAGCACCAGGGCTTTTTTTTAAAGTACCAGGAGCTGGGGTGGGTGGGGGCAGCCAGGGGGGCCTGGG